GTAAAAAACGTGCCCCAGATGGCTCAGTCATGTTGGAGAAGATATAAAAAACGTGCCCAGGATGGCTCAGTCATGTTGGAGAAGATGTAAAAAACGTGCCCAGGATGGCTCAGTCATGTTGGAGAAGATGTAAAAAACGTGCCCCAGATGGCTCAGTCATGTTGGAGAAGATGTAAAAAACGTGCCCAGGATGGCTCAGTCATGTTGGAGAAGATGTAAAAAACGTGCCCGGGATGGCTCAGTCATGTAGAAAGAAGAGATGTTAAGAGTGTGATAAACAGTGAAAGGGAAGAGGACAAGAGGAAGACCGAAGAAAACTCGATGAATTTAACGAGAGAGAAAATGCGATGGGAATAGGATTTTTATGACTTTCTATACAATAACCTTTCATCTGTCCAATATTTTAGACAATTTCCCTGTAATTTTACGAGATTCCCCAATATTTATCCCTAATGTTTGTCTAAAGTCTGACGGGAGGTTTATTTTATTAATATCAGAAAGTAGTTATTGTATTGTCAGATTTTTCAACTTTGTACTTAAGACGTCTCGTCACTTTTCTGTTGTCATTATGGATTTCAGGTAATCAAGAGGTAAACATTTATGTTGCTTAAATAGATTTTAGAATTTTTTACAGTTAAGGCAATGGTTAAATCTGATAGCTTGAAGTCATTACGTGATAGAGTTATGGAATACATTAAATAAATATAAAAAGTTTCTGTGATCTGTACCACTTTAAAAAGTTAGATAATGTTAGCTAGTCAAAGTGTGAGAATTAATTAATATACTTTATATCAAAGCCTTTTTTTTTTCTGAGGTAACAATGTAAGTAATACAAGGAAAGCTACAACTATAATTTACCTTTGTTGATTTTGTCATCTTCATCTGACACAGGGTATCTAGTACACATTTAGCTTCTGAGATAAAGAAGTAATTGTTTCAGTATTATCAGATCTTCACACCTGTTTTATTTATTAGAATCTATAATTAATTCATACATGTTGCATTAAATGTTTGTTTTTCATCAAACTAGCCTACATGACCTGTTTTTTTCTTAATTTGTTTTTCATCAAACTAGCCTACATGACCTGTTTTTTTCTTAATTTGTTTTTCATCAAACTAGCCTACATGACCTGTTTTTTTCTTAATTTGTTTTTCTTCAAACTAGCCTACATGACCTGTTCTTTTTCTTAATTTGTTTTTAGGTTTAATAAAAATATTTAATTCAGTTTGGTCTAGGTTGTCACTGAACATTTGGAGTGGCTATTACAATAGATACATGTATTTCATATGTCAGTTTAAATTATTTTTTGTAGAATAATAATATCAGGTTCAATAAATCTCTCGAATAATTTTTCTTTTGTTTTTGGATGCAAATTTTAAATTGTTCATTTGTACTTTTCAATTGGAAAAATAAATCTTGTAATTTAAGAGATCCGTGCGGTTTAGATATTTATTTCATGTCTGTAAGAGTAAACATTACACAGACAATTTTATTTTGTAAGACAAGATTTGATTGAAAAGGCTAATGTTCGAACGTGCAGCTTCTAAGTAAGCCTACTTTTGGTAGATGAAACATTTTTTTATTATTGTAGCAGTCTAAATCTTTGGTTGGTATTTGGTTTCTCGTTGCTTAGTTTACTTAAGATATCCAAACCTCCTTACCATAATACTTATTTAAAATTTTCAATTCTTTGTTTATGAGTGAAATATTTTTCACGGGCATGTTTCACTTTCAGTATTTCTTTATGTGAAACAAAATATGGCATTAAATTTGGGTTGATATAATGTCAGTATAAGTATAACAGGGTACTTATTCATCAGCTCTGTATAAGCAAGTAGGAGCTTAATCTGTGTTTGGAACATCAAATATGAAAATTTGTCAATGTATGTTACGATACTTTAACAGATGCTTGAAAAAGAATGAACCCACATAAATAAACTAATATCAAGGGTTAGGTGGGTTTAATTAAGGGCAGGCTCACTTGCTGCTGAGGTATTGTATATTTTGTGTGCCTTCATTACAGACGCAATGTAATTGTGTGTGCAGAATGTGGTGTTCTCGGGTCTGCCGGATTATTCTGAGTTATCGGAGAGGTTCCACAAGATAACAGGATGTTCGACAGGAAATGTATTGCAGAATAAATTGAAATTCTCTGACTTCCACCAAGTAGCGAAAGAGACTGTGTAACAATGTGAAATGATAAAACAAAAATGAATATATATACACCTAAAATGTGACCTTTGGTGGAGGGTGAGAGCTCTCAGCAAAGAAGTATTTCAGACTGAGAAAATATAGAATTGTACATACGAAACAATCATGCTATTCTTAGGGTGCATGTGCTACCCACGTCCCTGTTGGTTATTACCAGCAAAACATAAGGGACGTTGTTTTGAATCACAAAATCCTTCACTAAGAATTAATGAGTGATAAAAATCCCAATGTAAGGTAAGAAGCTTGGTTGTTTATGTTGAAGGGGAGCTGTTGGATTATTAAGTTAGCTTTTGGTGATCGTAATGTTCAATAATTATATCATAAGATATTACTCGTTCTTAGACTGTAAAATGTTAAGTTCATCATAAGCAGTTAACTGCTAATATTCTTATAAACATTGCGAACCGTGGTGTCTGTCTGTCTACCGTTTGAAAAAGCTGCCCACGCAGACAAAGCTCAACATTCACTTTTGAAATGATGGGAGAACAAGCATGAATAATTTTGATGACAAATTGTATTTTGCAAGTAGGATATTCTACACTAAATTATTAGGAATTAACCACACTATCATTCACATTTCATATTGTGACGTAATTTAAAGAATAAAAATGTAGATTTCCAGTATGTTATTGTTGAGCGGCTCTTAGCATGACTGAAATGTTCAACAATTACTTTTCACGGTGGGTGATATAAGTAGCTCAGAGCTTTGTCTCTGAGTGAAACCAAAAGTGCGACATGACTAACCTTTTTAAAGTCCATGAAATAACTTAAATTGATAGATTACCTTAAACTTTTTCCATCACTGGGGACGGGTACATTTGTTTGTAACTAATAAGTAAAATCTTGACAGTTTTGGATTTCATTAAAGTTGATGTTACTTTCCTGCTATTGGCCCTTACATTCATTTAGAATTCAAATTTTAATGGTGATACTGACTTCTAAGTCGCACGTGATAATAGTATTAAAAGTGCTACTCTTTATATATGGCCAGGTGGTTAGGGCACTCGACTCGCAATCTGTGGGTCGCGGGTTCGAATCCCCGTCACACCAAACATGCTCGCCCTTTCAGCCGTGGGGGCGTTATAATGTGACGATCAATCCCACTATTCGTTGGTAAGAGAGTAGCCCAAAAGTTGGCGGTGGGTGGTGATGACTAGCTGCCTTCCCTCTAGCCTTACACTGCTAAATTAGGGACGGCTAGCGCAGATAGCCCTCGTGTAGCTTTGCGCGAAATTCAAAAACAAAACAAGCTACTCTTTATCAAAGAAATAATAGGTTTTTGTAAAGAAATTCACTTACTGGGTACTACATTTAAAAATTACATCAATAAAGATATAATCAAACTCTCACGTACAGTCCTAGTGAAAGTCGTGTTCTTGTTGTGAAGAGAGGACTTTTATTTAAAATTGTGTTCTGTTATAAAGAAATAGTTGTTGCACGTACCACAATAATTTTTCTAATTGTCTAAATACCCAAAGTGAAAATTGTTTATGGATTTTTGTTTGTGATGCCACTCGATAGATGGCGCAGGAGTTTTTTTACATGCATAGATACTGACATATAGGTAACCTTCACTACAGTAAGATTGGAGTGATTAGATTAGGTTCTGTGTTTGCTGTGATAACTATAGGAGTAAGTTAGTTTTGTCGATCTTTTTTGACCTTTGACTTTAAGCATAGGTTTAATTGAAAACGCAGAAGATTTTGAACAAGTAAGATAGCTTCCATCATCTGTAGCAGGTTGTATAACAGCTGTTTACTTCTGGTCAGAATCACTGGAATGTTGTTTCCATGAGTGACCATACAATACATTCTGTGTTTTAGTGGATGACCTGCCTTTAAGTTACCATGTTAATGG